ATTCCTGCACTCCCTGCTGGATGAAGCCTGGTTGCTTCTTCTCCAGTCGTTCAAATGTTTATTGAGCACCTACTATGTGCCAAGTAGCATGCTAGGTATCGTGGCTACAAGAGCCGCAGACCCTCACCTGAAACTAATACAACACTGTAAATCAACTATTAAAAAAAAAAAACCCAACACAGACCCCGCCCTCCTGGAGCTCATAGTCTAGCAAAGACACTTGGATGATTAAACAAGTAATTTCAACAGAGTGTGATGAGAGATGGGCTGGAAGATGTACCTGGTGGGATGAAAGCACAAAGGAGAAGGTGGCAACCTACTGTGGAGCCAAGGAGGGTGCAGGACAGCCGGAACTGAGCGGAGAAAAGGAGCTGGTCAAAGGGGGAGGGTGTTCCAGGAGAGGGAAGGGCCCGAATGAAGGCCTGGAGGCAGGAAAGCCTGGGCTGGCTGGGGACTCAGAGGTCTCCTACGGCTGGACCCCAGAGTGCAGGGGAGATCAGCAGGATGCAGGTTATGAAGGGCCGTGTAGGTCACAGGCTAAAGGTTTGGAGAGGGGAAGGGGATCAAAGCAGGGACAGATTTGTGTTTTACAGAAATCACTCTGCTGCTGTAAAGACGTATAGAACTTAGATAGATACTCTCGGGGGAAAGATGGAAAACACCAGCTAAGAGACAGCGTTGGATTTCTGTTGAAGGAAAAGCGTTGCCAAGGGAGAAGGGGGAGGCTTTATTTGTCAGACTAATCTCTTCACAGCTCGGGAATAAGATCCGGGAAAGGCGATGCCTGAACAGCATGCACATACTGGCCACGTGGCAAAAGGCTTCTTTCATCTTGGGAGGCAGTGCTGGCCTGGGGATGAAGGCCACATCTTGGCCCTGTGGAGACCTTGCTGTGTGCCCAGGGACACATCCCCACACCCCTCTGAGCCTTTGCGCCTCCTCTGGCTAAATCACCAAGCTCAGCCAGGCAGGGTTGAAGGGGGAAGACCCGGGGTCGCTGTAAGAAGACGGTAATACCTCTTTATATAAAAAAGGTACCAGCAAGATTTGGTCAGATGGGTGGAAAACAGGGGGAGACAGGTTTGCTCCCCACCTCCTTCGGCTTTTCTGTTTCCTGTGTTTGGACTGCAGGGGCCTTTGTCTGCTGCCTCACAAGGCCCCCTTGAAAGCTGGCCTTGAGAACCCATTTTAACAGGAAGTAGAGGGTAGCTAGTCCAGACAGCTCCATCCTGCACCCCGGGCCACCCCCGGAATGTCATCCCATTAGGGCACCTGACCCCCTTCACACCCTCTCCCCTGCGGTTTCTTTTGTTTCAGGGGAGCCTTCTGGCCTCAGCGGGTGAGAAATGCCCCTGAGCCGGTAGTGCATGAAAGAGAACACACTTTTCAGGACCCATCGGCTTCCCTGGCTGAGAAAGGCTCTCACCACCTTCCTGTTTCATTTTCTCTTTCACACAACTAAATGTGTTTTTCCTGCTCTCTCCTTCACCCTGCCTCCCGGTAACACACATCATTTTCAGTCTCACTTTCCAGGCTAACGCTCGGCGGAAGATGAGCGTTGGGCATCACTTTTCATGGGTTGGTTTACCTGTGCACTTGGGCCTGAAATACAAAACAGGCACATTTCAGGATAGAGAGGTTTGTTTTCTTCCCTCCAGATGGCTTGTGATGGAGAGGACTAGGGCTGGGAAGAGATTTCATCCTGCCACGAAGAAACTGTCATGCCACTAAAAAGCTGCCATGCATTCACACCGAGTCCCACGATATTAAATCAACTTTTCAATATGCATCCAATGTAACTGCTTTGCCAAGCTATTGTCACTCGGGATTATTAAAAGAAATGGCACGCCTGTTCCTGCCCAGAGTGAGATGGGTAGCCATTAGTCTGTGGTCTGAAATGAATCTCAATTTAAATGCAGATTTATTTTTGCTTAATCACTGAGCAGCTATTGGATATTTGGGTATAAAATCATCAAGTTTGGCTCAAAGCTTGAGACCATTCAAAAAATGATGGAATCCGCATGTTTAATGCCCTCCAAGAACGTTATCAAAAACCCAAGTCTCTGTTAATTCTGCGGTGAGTGCTTGCAGAGCAAAGATTCCAGTCTCTCCATATCTTTCCACTCCTATTGCCGCTCTGCCAGTCCAGCCACACCAGCTCTCCTCTGACCGTTAGCCCTGAATCTCATCCTGCTTCCTCCACCCTCCAATCCATTCTCGAGAATGATCTTCTTAAAATTCATAACCGATCCCATCACTCTCCAACTTAACTCCCTTTCATAGCTTTCTTTGCTACCAAAAAATGCCAAATCCCTTCATGCCCTGACAGGCTCTACAGGATCCAGCTCCACCCCTCCCTGCCTGGCCTCGTCTCTCTCCCTGCTCTGCCTGCCTTTCTGTGTCATCTTCTACTCTGGCCTCTGGGCCTTCACACATGCTGATCCCTCTGCCTGGAATGCCCCTTCCTTCCCCACCTTTTGGGTTTATCTCCCAGGTCTGAGCTTAAGTGGCCCTTCCTCAGCAAGGCCTTCCCTGACCTTCCAAATGAAGTTCGGGTCTCCTGATATATGTTTGCCCGGCACGCTGGGCTTCTCTCCTCAAATAGCTCAGTTATAAATCCTTACTCAACAGGCCTTTGAGCACCGAGAGGGTGGGGACCAGCTCTATTTCACTGATGTATCCTGGGCATTTAGCACAGCCTAGAACACGAGAGATAAGTTAATAATCATTGCCTGGCTTGATAGGGCTTTGGGGAAATTAAGCAGCTACTTTCTCAACATAAATGTGAGTTCTGCTGTCTCTAATCACTCCAGGAGCCACTGGGGTCGAAGACCGGCTGCAGGAAGGAGTTCCAGATACAGTCGCTGCTCTGCAGGAGGCTGGGATCCGGCTCTGGGTCCTGACTGGAGATAAGCAGCAGACGGCAGTCAATATCGCCTATGCCTGCAGACTGTTAGACCAGAAGGACACCGTTTATTCCATTAACACAGAAAGTCAGGTGAGGCCAAAGTAGGGCTCAAATGTCCAAGCGCGGAGCAGCTTCTAGGCCAACGGGAGACGGGATTGTGGGTGGGACTTGGGTACATAGGAGAAGCACCCCTTACCCCCAAATCTTGGAGTCCCGAGGGTCCTAGAAGGCATCCAGCCCGATATCCTCGACCCCATCCCCACATATGGTTGACCAGTCTATTTATATTACATCTAGCAGCACCTAGTAGCAAGTTGTGCCTCTCTCGAATCTCATCCTTGGCCCAGTCTCCCCATTCTACACGTGAGAAACTGAGGACCACTGGAGCTAAGTCACTTGCCCAGGGCCACCCTGGTAGTTTCTGATGGACCAAGTCTAAAATGCTCTTCTCCGGCCGGGCCAGTGCTATTTGCATTATAACCAGACTGTTTGCTCACAGATCCTCAATTGTTTCTTATACTTTGGATAAACTTATCCATTTGAAAAACCCCAATTGAATAGAAATGATTCTGAGTTTAAAATTTCAGCTCCAATTCGTAGGTGCAATTTGTTGCCACAGAATAAAACCTGAAGGAAATGACACATGAGACCAGTATGTTTTGATGGGATGGAGGAGAGAAAGAAAGATAAGCCAAGTTTGAAAACTGTAATTTTCAGCCTGAATAGGTTGTGAGTGGCAGGGATCAAGGATTGGAGACAGAGGACTGTATAAAGTCTAAAGAAGCGTATTTAAAGTCATAACACAGTTTTATATTTAGGAGGAAAAAATCTATTTTCACGATGCAAACTGCAGAAAGTAAAGTTCCACTGTCTCCTTGGCTGATGAATATGGGACGTAGGCATTGAGTTGTGTGCTCCTTTCAAAGGGAACAGGACTGGATTAGATGCGCGGTTGTAACAAGGAAAGCAGTGGGTTGTGGGGCGGGGGGGGGGGG